GCCCTGCGATGTACAACCTAGGTTGTTTGTTGGAGACCGGAGGGGAGGGGGTCGAGAAGGATGTGGTACGAGCCAAGGAGTTGTTCGAGCGTGCAATCAATGAGCATGGTCATGTTGGGGCGATGAACAATCTAGGACTGTTTATTGGAGAAGGGAGCGGAGGGAGTCGAGAAGGATGCGGTACGCGCAATGGAGCTTTATGAGCTTGCAATATCGAAAGGCGATGATGGCTCTGCGATGTACAACCTAGGTCGTTTGTTGAAGAAGGGAGGGAAGGGGGTCCAGATGGATGCGGTACGAGCCAAGGAGTTGTTCGAGCGTGCAATCAATGAGCATGGTCATGTTGGGGCGATGAACAGTCTAGGACTGATGCTGCATAACGGCGCAGAAGGAGTAGAAGCCGATGTGGCACGCGCAATTGAGCTGTATGCGCTTGCAATATCGAACGGCAGGAACGGCATGGCGATGTACAATCTCGGTATCTTGCTGAGAGACGGGGCGGAGGGTTTGGATTGCAATTTGGTGGCCGCGGCAGAACTGTTTAAGATGGTCATTGCAGAGAGCAACGATACAGACGCAATCGTGGAACTCGCAAAGGTGGAACTCGGAAATCTGTTACGCGATGGAGCGGAAGGAGTTTAGCGGGATACAGATCGTGCATGCAGATTGTACGAAAGGACCATCAAAGAGGACAACCATTCCAAGGCTGTAGAGAATCTTGCTGCCCTGCGCGATGCTGAGATGAATGAGGTCACAGAAGACGGAGATTGAACGATTTCAGAAGTCAGCAAGAGCACTCTCCCGAACGGAGATGGCGGGTGCCGTCGGGGAGAGCGGAAGGGAAAACCCGAGGCTCAAGGCGAGTAGAGTTCCCTTCGTTAAGACCCCTGTAGAAGATGGGATAAAGATGTGGTTCCTACCGTCCGACAGCGACGGATAGATCGCCTATGCCGAGTTCAACTCCTTTATCAGGACAATGAACTCGGAGGCAGCGGCCGGCGCTAGTGTCTAGACGACCGTCAATTTGAGCTCATATGAGGCCAGCTTTTTTTCAAAAATATATAAATTAAATCGAAACTTTAAAAAGTCAGTTTGGACACCATTTCTTTAACGTATACGCCCTCGGCAACAACATCTTGCAAAACATTGGGATGGCGGTTGTCAATGCACAGAGAGACTAATGAGAATGTAGTGAACTAAAAATCTAATGAAGTTTCAATGATCAGTTGACTTTTTAAACAGGCGTTTTGGTTTCGAAGATATCAACATAAAACGTTTTGAGGTTGATCAAAAAGGCTCCCTTTTTGGGCATTTTAAAAATGGCTGGAAAAGACGTGCAGATCTCACCAAACTCCATCCTTCCGCAACGCAGAAGTCAGCTGCGGTGGCGAGAGAGTATCTTTTTCCATCTTGTTGAGTTAGCGCAAGTCGAGAAAAAATAAGTTGAAAAGTGACCTCATATGAGGTCATTTGTCACCTAGACACTAGGGCGCCCCCCTCAGGGCCGTTCCTAACGAAGAGTTCGCGGTGCCAGCACCCGAGCACCCGGACATTTGGCATGAATGGATTGGTTGAACGGGAGTAAAAGCATTTCCAATAATTTTTTCAACCAATACATTCATGCCAAGTTTCAGGGTGCTCGGGTGCTGGCACGGCGAACTCTTCGTTAGGAACGGCCCTCAGGCTGCACCCGGAACGGAGAACGGAATCAGGACTTGTCGAGGTGGCGCAACGGAGGAGTCCTTTTGCTCTCGCCCCGTCGCCGCTTTGGCTTTCAACACTCATTTGACCTGTTGTGGTTGGTCGCTGGTGCCATCCACGGGCATCCCCGACTACCCCGAACCGGTTAAGCAGCTTCGTTCGGTCGTGCCGTCTTTCGCCTTAGTAGTGTCCTGCGCTTCCACCTCCGCCCCCGCTCGGGTTACACGCACGCACTAGTATTATGTGTATTGCGCAAGAACTTGACAAGTAGGGTTGACGACTCAAGCTCTGAGAGCGAGGCGCAAGATGCGAGTGCTTGACAACTTGAACGGATCGCTTCGTATCTATGTTTCATTTTCAATGTGCACGTAGTACAACGTGATATCCCTCTCCAGATTGTGCGAGACCCTGTATGCCGGCGATCTCTTCCGACGATCACCGCCAATATCCCCTCTTGTTACACGCGAACCAGTCATGTTTGTCAGCCCCAGCAATCAAGAAGTAATCAAACTTTACTTTCACAAGTGTTTTTACTCGCAGCTCTAAAAGATACGCATCTCAAACCCAGCATCTGTGTGCATTCGCTTTTGATTGTAAAACCAAGTATTCGATCGCCACTTGCTTGCATTCCACCACCACCGTTAGGGCGTAACAGAGGCCCCATTTCCGAACCAACATTCCGTGAGCGTTCGTATAGTTTCCTCGTTTTCCTCGACTACATCTCAGAAGCCAGGTTTCCATAGTGCTTTCCAACTCGCTCCCTGAACGTGGTGGGAGTCCAGTTGTGCCCTGCCCATGTTTTGCGTTTCCGTTCTAGAGGTAGTGGTCGACATCATGTTCTCGCACCTGCTGACAGCTGCTGGGCGAGATACCGAGCTGGTTGGACACAAGAACTGGCGAAGATTCCAAACGCCGCGAGACTCGAGCGTAAAATCTACGTTTCAGCACGGTACAGTTGGTCTCTATATGGGATACTCATTCTTTTCGAAGCGCCCTCAAGGAGCTGGCGGGTGCAATCGAAAGGGGAGGGAGCTAAGCAAATGATACGAAGGGTTTTTTACAAACGACTGGAAATGCGTGGATTGGAATACTTGTGGCTTGCAACAATGAGAGAATCGTGCGATTCTCTTTGGGCTTCATTTCCGCCTAGCGCAGTACTCGATAGCGCGACGTGCGTGGGCGTTCGTGCGACACACGGCATTTATTGTTGGACAAGTGACTCTAGTGTTTTTCGATCACTTGCCAAAGAGAACTTGGAAGCTGACCTTGGAGCATCATATTAACGGTTGAGATACTTTGTATAAGCTCTTGAATGTGAATGGCTCTTCCTCTGTACGTGCACAAGGGTGAGGTCATGGAGTGTTACATAATTGCCATTTTGTGCAATGGGCGGCGCACGTCGGTTCGCGGATGTCGCAGTAGCAGTAGCAAGAGCCTCGAGCGGTCGGGCAGCGATTGCAGTGGAGTTGAAGGGGGACGCCCAATGTACGTGGGTCCGCCCGAGTTTGTGTCGATGGCGGCGCTGTGGTGACGACGAGCCAAGCACGTTGCTCCGCGATGTGGAGGAGGATGTAGGTTGCAGTGCTGGGACCAGCAAACAACGGCGTGAAGCTCAAAGTTGGTCCAACCTGATCTACGGTAACAGGCGTCTGCTCTCCTTTGCTCCCAGGAAGAGAAGAGAGCAGATGCCAATTAGATTAGGCTTCGGGAAAGTAAGGCCGCGACACAGGAGATAATGCGCACGTACTTTGGAAGGACGCAGTGTGGGCCCCGGCGGAGCTTCAGACTGGCCAAGCCGCCTTACTACACGACGGATCGTGTGATAAGGCGGCTTGGCTTGGCTTGGCTGGGCTGGGCATGGCTTAGCTTGGCTTGTGAGAAGGTCTTGCGAGTTCCTTTGCCACCCTACTTTCTCTTCAATTGTTCCCCTATCATACCTCTCTCCCCCCCACAATTTGATGGTCTCGAATTTCTCATATTGGGTCTTGCGCACCGGCACTGTGTGAAGCGCAGCAGTTGGCCCAGCCACCGCAATTGTGCCGCTGCGTATGGCATCGTCATCGCCCCCAACTGTGCGGGTGGCCACGCTGTCAGAATTTGATTTACAGAACAAACGGCAATGCCCAGAAATGCCGTCGTCGACGAGGGATCCCGGATGCAAGGAGCAGACTGTTCGGAGGACCTCAGATTCTCCAATGTCCGGCGGAGGGGGAAGGTCGGCAGGGGAGAGCGGGACGAGATGTGTGCGGAAGGGGCCGGGTGAAGGTCGCCGAGGGCCGCAAGAGTAGCGGGGTCGTTGAGGTCTGCGAGCGGGCTGTTCGTAAGGGAGCGCGTTGCGCGAGAGCATTGAGCCTCGCGATGGAGGCGGCGGATGACACCGGCAGTGGCGGCCGCGTCGAGAGCCTGAGCGGTGAGCGGCAGGGGAGGCGTGAGGACAGTAAAGTCGTCGTAGACGCGGCGGGCGTGAGCGAGAATAACGGGCGATGGTGGCAGAGGCGTCAGCGGGGCGAGAGAGGGGTAGCGGCGAGTTGAGAGCTCCGGCGGAGGTGGCCGTCTGGGTGGTCTCGAAGGAGGCGAACGAGAGGGCTGGGGGCGCCGTGGGAGCGATGGCGATCGAGGTGCTGGCGGTGGGGGAGGAGCGGGCGTGCCGGTTTCTACGCGAATCGGGGCGCCGACGGTGCACACTGGCGTGCGAGCGGCCGGGATGAGAACGGGTCGGGCAGAGGACGGGTCGGAGAGGAGAGATCGAGCTTTGGCGAAGAGTAAGGATCGGTCGCGGTGAGCTCGCAGGTCCGCGTGGGAGATCAAAATTCCCGGATGCGATCACCCTGCACGGGCCAGGCGCGGTAGACAACGACGGGGCCGCAATGGAGGCCCAGGAGCGAGGAGGGGCGCTGCGAGTCAGAGCGCAGGGGAGCCGCCGCGAGTGGGGGCGCAGGCGAAACGGGGTGGGTGCTGAAATGAGATGGGGAAGGGGCGTGCGCATCGGTGCAGATGGTGGGAGACGGCGCGTGGAGGGGCGTGGAGGGGCGTGGAGCAGCGTTTTGGCGGGCGGGCAGGCGCGATCGGGCTCGGGCGGCTTGTTTGATGCTTGGGGCGGAATCGCAGGCGCTGGCGCTGGCGCCCCGGCGCTGGCCCAACCGCGGCGCCCCGCGAAGGCGACGGCGATAGTGTCTAGTGTCTAGGTGACAAATGGCCTCATATGAGGTCACTTTTCAACTTAATTTTTCTCGACTTGTGCGAGCTGAACAAAATGGAAAAAGATACTCTCGCCACCGCAGTTGACTTCTGCGCTTTGGAAGGGTGGAGCTTGGTGAGATCCGCACGTCCTTTCCAGGCTTTTTGAGAATACCTAAAGAAGAAGCTTTTTTAAAGAACATCAAAACGTTTTTTGTTGATATCTTCGAAACCAAAACGCCTGTTTAAAACATCACCCGATTGTTGAAACTATATTAGATTCTTAGTATTTCTGTGTATTCATAACTGCTATCTCGATGTTTTGCAGGAAGCTATTACCGAGGGAATATTGGTTAAAGAAATGGTGTCTAAACTGGTTCTATAAAATTTCGATTTAATGTATACATTTTTGCAAAAAAAAACCGGCCTCATATGAGGGCAGCTTTTTTTTGCAAAAATATATAAATTAAATCGAAACTTTAAAACATTCAGTTTGGACACCATTTCTTTAACGTATACGCCCTCGGCAATAACATCTTGCAAAACATTGGGATGGCGGTTGTCAATGCACAGAGAGACTAATGAGAATCTAATGAACTAAGAATTTAATGAAGTTTCAATGATCAGTTGACTTTTTAAACAGGCGTTTTGGTTTCGAAGATATCAACATAAAACGTTTTGAGGTTGGTCAAAAAAGGCTCCTTTTTGGGCATTTTAAAAATGACCGGAGAAGACATGCAGATCTCACCAAACTCCACCCTTCCACAACGTAGAAGTCAACTGCCGTGTTGAGAGTATCTTTTTCCATCTTGTTGAGCTAGCACAAGTCGAGAAAAATAAGTTGAAAAGTGACCTCATATGAGGTCATTTGTCACCTAGACAATAGAGGTGGAGTTAATAGGGATATTACGCCAGCGAAATTCTGCAACTAGTATGTAAAGGAACCGAAACTCGAATTACAGTATTACAGAATTCTGCAATCCAGCGTGATCAAAATTGCGGAAATCGGACCGTTTAGTGAAGCGGAAACTGAAAGTGTTTTTGTAATACGTGTAAAACTAAAGGCGCCAAATAGCTACTACCGCCTCCGAAGTCATCGGTTGAGAGCCGTGGATGTCGTCTCGATCTTCGCACTTCACCTTCGGAATGGCAACCGTAGTCCCGCCTAGCCCAATTGCTTCCACTCCAGAGGTTGTTGCATCTCCTCTTTCTGCGCCTGAGTCGAACACTTTGGACGCAACGCCCCGTTCAAACCGTTTCGCCGATGCGCGCACAGATCGTCGGCCGAAGTTCAGTCCGGACGCGCCTAGTGTTAGTACGAGAAGTTGCTGCGGCAAGAGTCCACGTTGCACCTAACGGCGCCACTAAGGAGCGCTTCGAGACCGCTGCAAAGAGAGCAAATGCTACCCAACGCTTAACCTGTCCTGTGACCTGGAAAAGCGTCCATGACAGGTACAAGCGCATTCAGGCTCGATTCGATGAGCATGACAAGATAGACGGGTTGATGAGCGGGGTTGGCGGCGACTTAAGCGAAATAGAGGAGCTTTTAAGCTCCATGAAGGAGGCACGTCAGGACCTGCTTAACAGCAAAACTGCTTCGCGCAAAGCAGCCCAGGAAAGAGAAGCAGAGAAAGAACGTCTTGGTGGGATAGTGCGGGCAAAGGCTATGCGTCGTGAAAAGCCTGCGAGCTCCTCCGATGCCGAATTAAAAGGCATCGAGGGCGACAGCTCGGACCATGTGTAGTACAACGGCGCGAAGGCAATTGCACCACCGCTGCCGCCCCGGGATACAGTACGATGGGCTGTAAGCGCGAGAAGAACTGTAAGGAGTTATATTTACAGCACACGGCCGGTGCAGAGTACAGTAGTACCCCGCTGGTTACACGTGTAGGATCCGAACGGTAAGTAATTAGTAATTAGTAGTTAATGGCACAAATTAGCCAATTTAGCACAGTAGCTGGTATACAGTAAGTAACAGCTACTGTAGCGGGACAGGTGTCCTGGCGTCCCACTTAGGGGTTAAGACCGGGGGCACCTGCCCCGTTCCAGTAAACGGGGGCAGACTCGCCTCCCTTCCCTTTACGGCTTTTTGCTAACTCCGTCCGGTTTTACCTCTAAGTCTCAGGCTTCTAACCCGTGACCGGCCGTCCGGATCTGACACCACCGACCGGCGGCGCGTCACCGGTCACGTGAGCCTTCCCTCTTTTCGAGTCCTTCCGTACGGTTCGCGCTCGCGTGGGTTACCCAGCGTCGCGCGCTCCCTTACCTCTAACCCCCCTCGTTCCGAGTGGTCGGGACGAAGGTAGTTATACCACACCAAGGTGCTACACCAAAGAAGCGATCGTCCAAGCGCAAGCGCAGCGAGGGGACACCTGGCCCTTTCGATGACGATATCGCAGCATTTACGGCCGCGCTGCAGAAAAGCGACGAGGCTCGCATAGCATTTGAAGAACGCCGCTTTGCCAGCGAGGTTGAACAGCGCGAGAATGATAGAGAGGAGCGGCGCAAAGAACGGGAAGAAGATAACAAGCTCCAGTTTGAAACATTTAAGCTGATGATGGAAGCCTTCATGCAACGCTAGAAAGCACTCTGAGTGCCTCTCAATCGCTGGCCGCGGCACGCCTCCACAGCCCTTTTCTTTAAATCAACAGCCTGACGTCGCCAAAACTCCCAATTTCTTCGCCCGAGCCTGCCGACCAAATACACACGTCCGCCCCCAGACCCTTCCAACCCTTCGCCGCGCTCTCCGCCGTCGTCGTCTCACTATCTTTTCCTTCTTACCATGTTACGGCCGCCTGCGAACCGATTCACGTCGTACCCCCGGCCTGACCATCGCCCCACCGGGTTTTACAGTGACCGGTACCTCGTCACCCCGCCTGTCCACTTTCGTCGCCGTTGCCGCCCCATTGGCTTTCACAGCGACCACGACCTCGTCGCACAGGCGGGTATCCTATCGCCGGCATCATCGGTCACGTCGGCTTTTTTAAGCGACTACCACCTGGTTTCCGCAATCTCCGGTCGGGCTCTGACTCATAGCTCCCTACTCCCGCCAACCCAAAAACTCTTCGAGCGACGGGGGTTTGCAGTTAAAATAAATTGGCGTTTCATTACTGTACAAACAATTTCTTATGTTGCTCAAAAGCATCCCCGAAAAGTATAGAGGCCACGGGTGCCTGCTGGACACGTAGCTTTCCCTTGAAGTCCATCAACGTCCAAAACAGTTTGATTTCTTTAAACATCCATTCAACCGTAACTCTGCTGGTGGCCATGGCAGTATTAAAAGCTCGCGCATCTGCACTTAAGGGTGGCCCTTGGAATGGTACTTCCATATACTCCCTCCAATTGTACCCACGA